AAACTGGGATAGTCTAAGGAACATAGAGAGTGTCGAATCCCTAGCAGGAATGTTCACTCACTGTGTCGAAGTGATTTTCGATTTACATGCCCCAATACAAACACGAAAGTTTAAACACCCCCCCCCCCCCCCCACCCATGGCTTACAGACACTGTAAGATCAATGATGCGTATCCAAGATCACTACCATAGCAAATACAAAATTCAAAAAACGGAAACACTAAAAGAAAGCTACAAAAATATGAAATCTCTTGTGATTGCTGCAATTGAGAGTGAGAAGAGTTGTTTTTTTAATAAACACATAAATACACATTTAAATAATTCCAAGCAACTATGGAGAAACCATACCACCATTCTTCGACAATCCTAATGAAATTAATCTACACTTTTTAAATGTACCAGGCAAGGATAATGTCACTATTTCACAGCTATCATACTTGGAGCATCACAGAGGCTGCAACTCAGTTTTCACACTGCACAATGTGGGTGAGGATAAAGTGTTAAAAGCAATAAAGAGCCTAAACTCGAATGCACAAGGAGACGATGGTATATCCCTGGAAATGCTGCAGCTGATGTTACCACAAGCATTGGGCACTATAACTTCACTAATGAATAGATCAATAGACCAAGGCATCTTTCCGGAAATATGGAAGATGGCTGTCATTAAGCCTACGCCTTACCTAATATCAGATCTACGTCCTATAAGCCTTCTACCTTGCTTATCCAAGGTACTGGAGAGGATAGTTTGCGACCAGCTTACTAAATACCTTGAAGAATACAACATTCTACCTCAATATCAATCTGGTTTTCGAAAGGGGTTTAGTACAGCAACTGCTCTCAGCGATGTGGTAGATAACTTCTCACAGCTCAGGACCAAGGTATGATCACCGCACTACTGTTGCTGGACTTCTCACGTGCATTCGATTCAATTAATATAAGCCTTTTATTATCCAAGTTATCTTACTATGGTGTGGATGCTAAAACTTTGAGATGGTTCGATAGCTACCTTACAAACAGAAAGCAGTATGTGGAACTTACTATGGCCGATGGGTCCAAATCAAGGTCAACCCCACTCCCAGTGACAAGGGGTGTAGTGCAGGGATCCATACTCGGGCCGATTCTCTATATTTTATATAGTGCAGACATGACACATAGTATTGGCCACTGCAAACACCATCTCTACGCTGATGACCTTCAGCTATATTTGTCATTTTTACCAGAGCAACATGCTGATGCTGTAACAAAAATTAATAAAGATTTAGAAAAAATATCAAACTGGTGCATATCTAACTGCCTAATGTTAAATCCCATCAAGTCTAAGCTCATGCTATTTGGTACAAAAAAGAACCTGCAAAAGTTTACCAATGGTCAAGTACCAATTAACATAAACATTCAAGGTGAAACCATTGAGCTCGTACATACAGCAAGAAACCTGGGACTTATCCTCGACAGCCAATTGAAATTCGAAGACCACATAATTGAGTGTGCCAGAAACTGTTTATATAGAATAAAGGTCTTGTATAAGATTAGGCCATACATAAGTGAGACTTGAGGGTTAGGCTGTGCGAGTCACTTGTTCTCTCCAAACTCAACTATTGCGATGTTGTCTATGGTCCATGTCTTCTGTCCAGGTCTGCTAAAATGATACAGCGAGTGCAGAATGCATGCGCTCGTTACAGTTTTCACGTTCCACCACGTTCACATATATCACCGTTCCTAAACAAAGCAAACCTATTAAAAATGGAATCACGTCGAAAACTTCACCTTGCAACTATGTTGTTTGGTGTTATAAATACAAAGAAACCAAAATACCTGTATGTCAAGCTGGTTTAGTTGCAAGAGCTTCTCAAATACCAAAGACGTGTATGCACACACGTCTTCTTGACGCCCCAGCATCGCACTGTGGCTTTTAGGGGTTCTTTTAAATTTGCTGCCTCCCGATGCTGGAATGACCTTCTACCACTACCCGAACGTGACCTAAAAACAAAGTATTCATTGAAAAAACACTTAAAGGCATACCTCATGTCGTTGCAGGTGGGAATATAGTGACTCAAGGGCAGAATGTTCTTGGCTGAATCTTTTAGCCTTCAATTTCATTTCATGGAAGATAGCTCGTTTTAAATTTAAATTATCCGTTGTACAGAGACCACCTACGTGTAGAATAACAGCAATATTAACAATCTTGAGTTCTTGAAAAAAACCTTAAACATTAAACATAAAGCACATTATTAGTTTTCTGAAAAATACTTACAATAATGGTTTCACGCTGCTCTAATAACTCCATGTAAGTCACTGTGCACCATGGTTTTTCACTTTTGGCCCGCTCATTCAAAATGGCACGGATTTATTGTTGATCTATTAAGAATTGCCACGTAAAATACAACAAACTCTGCGCGCGCGGCCATTACGTGGCATCAAAGCCATCCATTGACCGACCACTGCGAAAGTTGCTTAATTTCAACGATCGCAGCCGAACGAGCTAATTGTCTGCGCCATCGAACTCCTCTAATTAACTAATATTAAATAATTTATTTTAAATCTAAAGAAAAGTTTACTAGAAAAAAATCCACGCGGACCAGGCAGCGGACGGGACTAGAACCCGCATCCTTCGCTATCCGGGCGAATGCACTGACCATTATGCTACCACGGCCCTATTAGCCGCGTCGAAATTTTCCTAGCCTTAAGCTGCAAGGCAGCGCCATCTTTTCGCATTGTAGGTAACCCACAATGTCAAATGAATACTTTTTCAAGTATTAAACATTTGAAAGAAGAAATAGCAATTATAGTTATGATTTTATTTAATTTTTAAGCATTTAACTGCTAGATGTTTAAATCTAAAGAAAAGTTTACTTGCAGCTTAAGGCTAGGAAAATTTCGACGCGGCTAATAGGGCTGTGGTAGCATAATGGTCAGTGCTTCGCCCGGATAGCGAAGGATGCGGGTTCGAGTCCCGTCCGCTGCCTGGTCCGCGTGGATTTTTTTCTAGTAAACTTTTCTTTAGATTTAAACATCTAGCAGTTAAATGCTTAAAAAATAAATAAAATCATAATTTATTTTACATGGATTATGGACACATTCACACTATACCAGGCGGTAACCGACTGACAAACGAGCAACAAATGAAACAACGCTCGGAAAAAACTTGGTGCCGCCTCGGCTCGGCCACGGCCCTTTGCACGAATACAGCGCCGGCGCGGTGCCACCCGGTAATCGTAATGATACCTCAGACAAAACAAAAAACGGTACATTTACCCTATTTACTTTTTCTGAATGATTAGACTGCATCACGGCGCAACGATACCTACCTAATTGCTCGGTCGAGGCGAGGCACTTCTTTGTACATTACAGAATTTACAGATCGGCTCGGTGACCATGCTACGGCTGAAGCTCGGCTCAGGACTCGACACGGTCCATCGTCACTGATCATCCTTAATAGATTTGTTAGGTGCTAAATCTAGTTGGTATCTATATTTTAATTTAATTTTTTAAGTGGTAGCTTTCCCTATCGTTTTGCCAAAAAAATACATGGCATTTTCTAAGAAAAAATATGATTCCTAAAGTTCTCCCCCAGATTTAATTTCTCCAAGTTCTTATTTTCCCCCTAAATAAGTATAAACACTCCCAATCTAGAAACCCTAAGTACCACAGAGTAGGCAAGTATTTACTCTTTAATATTGATTTATAATTTCGCATACAGTAAAATAACAAACTTAAGTTAAGTTTCCATATTTCAAAGATGATGAAGAACAACAAAGAATTACTGAAATAAGTGACAATCACCGAATAATAAATAATTATTGCTAATTTGAGTAAACCGATAATTACCGGTTCAATGCTTTTACATAATCTGTGAATTCAATTTAGATGCTCGTTTACAGCTGTCAACTGTGTTCTTAATTTAGTTAGTTCGCAATTTCAGAATACCAATTCTCTAAACCTAAACTAAAATTAGCTCTCTAATTTTAAGTTTAGGTTTAGAGAATGTAACGCCAGAATCGGTCCCATTGTCAAATTTAAGTTTAGGTTTAGAGAATCATGCCAGAATCGACACCTGTGATATAAAATAGGTGTGATTATGTGTTACAATTATCTGCGCAACTGAAGAATTAACGGAATCTTTAAAATATTCGTTAGATAGGTCAAGCGGATATGAGAACTTTATTGTAAAAATAGTGTTGACTACCTCACATCACAGAAGCTTGTCAAGAAAGCTGACTCGATACATACTGGTGCCAATTCTGGCGTGATTCTCTAAACTTAAAACTAAATTTAACATCAATCTCTCCTTTTCATTCCTTAATGAGAATGACAAGGATACACTGTTGTCAAATTTAAGTTTAGGTTTAGAGAATCGTGTCAGAATTGATACCATTGTTTGGTATACTTACTTTATTCTTTGCATTTTGTGCCAAACATTAGCAGGCGTCACACCCACATTATTATATAAAAAAGGAATTTATACAAAAAGAAGACGATGGCTGCATGGCTTTGCCTTTGCCTTTCCCAATAGGGAAGAATGAAATGAACTAAAAAAAAGATGAGAGTTTTTGGCGGGATTTCATCGAGTGTGGTTGGCGTCTATTCTTAAATTCGTTCATAGTGGATATTGTGAAATAAAATTGGTGTGATTTTGTTACAACTGTCTGAGTAACTGAAGAATTAGTAGAATCGTCAAAGTATACGCTATTCCGGTCAAGTGGACGTGAGAATTTTATTGTAGTATTGACTACCTCACAGAAGCTTATCGAAAAAGCCAGCTCGATACATTTCGTGCCAAACACTTCAAGAAACATTAGAATGCGTCACACCGACATTCTAATGTTAAAAGAAAAACAGAATAATTTAACTTAAGACTAGGCTGCATGGGCATTGTTCCCCTAGCCTTCCCTGAAAAGGGAGAAAGTAACCAAAAAAAAAAAAAAGAAGAATTCTGAAATTGGATAATAAAAACTACAATCAACGATAAATTAAAATCATATTTAAAATTATTCCTAGCGGCTTGTTTGTTATTTTCATTATCAGAGCGTTGGGAAAGGGGGAAAGTATTATGAATAGTAAAATGAGTTCAGACATTGATATGAGTTTGGAAGACATCATTAAAAAGAAACGAGTAATGAGGTGAATTTCAATAGGTACCAAAAATAATGTCATAATATTTGTTTATTTTATTATTAACATCAATACAAAAACTATTTTCAGGTCCGCGAAGCCCCAAAGTAACAAAGGAAAGTTACAGCCACCGAAAAAGCAATTACCTGTTACTGATGCACGACTCAAAATCATTTCCAAAAAGCGCATTCAAATAACCGATGCCCGTGAAAAGTTATCAGAACTTGCCAAACAGAAAGATGCCCGCCTGAAAATAGAACAAATGAGATTAAAAAGAGTAAGTGTTGTAGTCATACCTCCTGTATCTTTTGCATTATACAGTAGGGCCTCGATAATCCCAACGCCTAAAATTTATACCCTGTTCGTATCTTTGTGCTGATTATAGTATGTAGATAATATAATAGGTAATTTATCAATAACACAAGTTTTTGATGTGTAACATCTTTCCTCTCGCTTTCCTGCAATTTGTGGGAGTGATTTTGTGAAATGGGACGGAAATATATAACAGGAAGTCGCGAAAGCGCGCGCTATTTGATTTTAGAACATAACCTCTAAAGTGCTGAGCACCCGAATTTAAGTCTCTGTCAAAAATCGGTATAGTGCTGAGGCACCGACATTCGGTTCCGCGCGACCCCACTTATACTATGGAAAATATAAGATTCATTCTTTTTGCTATCACCTACATTCTTATATCAATTTGTAGAGGAAAGAACAGGCTAGCTATCTAGCCATTGATTAAGTCAACTGCCATATGAAATATTTATATTGTTGACTGTGTGTTTTTTGTATGAAAAAAAAAATGCTGGGTATTCAGACTATTTAAAGTTTTTTCAGTGGTTTTAAAAAAAAACACCATCCCTGGGCAAGTTAAATACATTCAGTTACTCTATTTTGATGTTTCGTTGGCGGGTTTACGTGTTTTTTTTTAATATCTTTTTTGTTCTCGACCTCGAAAAAAAAACAATAAAAAAAAGGGTTTGTGGCTTATGTTTTCATGGTGATAATTTCGATAATAATTGTAATGTTTTAATTCATAATTATTGAATAAATTATGCATGTTTAATATTTCGAATACAGAGAATCTCTTGATTTAGTATTTTTTTTATCTTTCCCGAGTTTACCGTAACGTAATTAAAATAGATTATAGACATGACGCATTGTGTACACACTGTTTTATAGTAAATTTTATGGAGCATTCAAATATATATAGTTTGTGTAGGGTATTCTTATGAAATAACAGAGAAATCGGCAAAACAATGCAATCGTTCCCACCCAGCGGGGGGTTGACGGATGACGTAAGCACTTGACGTAAGAACGGCGCATTACCATCATCCAACTGAGAGGATAATGTTCAAATGGCTTGTTCCTTTTGTAGTAGGTTTTATTTCTTTTTTTACTTATTTAAGGTGAGGTTTCAAATGTTACACATCATACACGAGTACTGTAAGGCTCGCTCGTTTTTTATTATCATATCCATGTTTTATTAATTCAAATATAGGATGATGCAATTTTATATTTATACTAGTCTTAATAATTCCAATTTAAATCTAAAGAAAATTTTAGAAAAAAAAGGCACATGTGCTGTTTACATGCAATAGAAGTGAAACCTACACAAATGTAAACATATTAAAAATGAATAATAGCTTAATAAAAGAAAAAAATGTAAATCTGTGTTATGTTTAAAAACATTATTAAACTAATCACTTTAAATGAAACATTAATACACTATTTAATTTAAGTTATATTTTTCGCAAATAACAACCTTTATTATTTATACACGAAGATTTATAAATGTACTTGCAATGATGTGATTGCATGCTCCATCTAAGGAATTGTAAGCAAACTCTTTTAAAGGTTAGATAATTTAAAGCATGCATGCTTATATGCTAGTCTTGCTACAAAAGCACAGCCCTAATTGTATAAGAAAATGCTTAATTCCTTGACAGATGGCACCAATAAAACGAATTAAAAAACAAATTATTTACTTATGTATTTAAAGATATATTAGATTATATTAGACAGGAGCTATGTAGCGATTAATAAGCAAGAAATAAACTTTAATAAACATATCAGACAATATCCATTAAATAAATATTGTACAACATCATATACATAATGTTATTATTTAAAATTAGTTAGTTGAAGCTTTTGTATTGAGGGAATTAGAAAAATCTATGATAAAATAATTAGCTAGACCCAAGAAAATAAAAATATAAGTTGACCGGACCTGGGATAGTAACCAGTACCCTGCAAGATTCCAGGGTTGATTGATTACAAAAACATTGCCTTGCTTTTGCGAAAGATAGCAGTAATTGTATAGAAAAATGTTGCATATGCTCAATAGATGGTGGCACTAAAGAAGTGAAAATATAACTTATTATTTACTTAATTTTTTAAGATTAGATAGAAGCTATCTAACGACTATGACCAAGAAATAAACTAGTAACAACTGCATATAAAATAGACAATATTAAAATAAATAAATTTTGTGAAACATCACATACATAGTGTATATTCAAAATTAGTTAGCCAAAGCTTTTGTAACAAGGAAATCGGAAAGATGACAATACAACAATCAGTTTAACAATTTTATTATTGAAATGAATAAGAATTTTATTATAAAATAAAAATAAAATAAATAAAAATAGCCTTTATTCTCTGATATAGTTATACTATGTACTTACTAACTAGCCGTATTACTAAGTTCCTATTGCTACAATTTAATTTGATTTTACATTGCTTACAACTAATAAAAGAAAATTGGTAACACCAGCACTATCTTAATCAGGTTGTCCTCCTCGGACATAGGCCTCCTCTAGAATTTTCCGTTTTTTCCGATCTCTTGCTAATCTGCGCCATCCTTGTGGTAGGTCATCCTCCCATCTTCTTTGTGGTCGCCCTCTTGTCCTCCTCCCATCTCGGGGTACCAAGATACGACCTCTTTGGTCCATTTTTCTTAGGGGGATCTGATCACATGTCCAATCCAACGCCATTTAAGTCTCCTAATTTTATTATAAAAATAATAAAAATACCCAACAAACGTATAATACATATACATAACACCATGGTTGTTGTGATGCCTTTTCTCTTTGTACCCTCCCAAATGTCCCATGACACTCAAGTGTCATAAAAGTTTTTCCAGTTAAACATCAAAGGACACTTGTTTGTAGCACGCTTTAGAAAGCATCCTTATGGCTGCTTGTGGTCTCATTAGTTTAGGTAAAATATGTAGATAGCGTTGTAAATAAAAATGCAGTGCTCTCTGAACTTTACATTTTTTTACATCAGTTTGATGTACGCGCTCCACGAAAAATGGCGACGACATAGACGTTTCAACCGAAATGACCCCAATTTTTTAGAAAACGCTCATTTTGCATTATTTAATCTTAAGTGTGATATATCCACATGTTACTCAAGATTTACCCGTGTCAGTGATGTGAAAAGATCATAGTTTTATTCATTATCAGAGTTGGATAACCAACCAACAACTCGTTAACAATGTTTGTTCGGAATTCATAGTTACAACGGCGGACAACGGCTATTGCCATGTGAGATGTGAATAGTAATTCTTACCGCACTGTGGCGCACGACCGCTTCCGAGCGCGCATCGCTCTGCACTGCACTATTACCAGCTCGGATGAGGCAGTTATTATGTAATTAATACTTAACTATTCAGGTATTGCAAAATACAAGGCAAATTTAAATATTATATACTTATTTTTTTTTCCAAAAATTAGCTTAATAAAAGAAAAAGTCTATCTATCTTCGCAGCTATTTATAGCTATCTTCGCGTTTGGACTTTATCACCACTTAACATCAGGTGGGGTAGAGTCATTTGCCTACCTAGCTACAAAAAAAAAACAATTAAAACAATAAAAAAACCGAGCTCAGGATCGAACCACCGATCAGTTGGTGTCGACCCCAAGCTATCCGTCTTTTATGGTAAATGATGAAATTACAGATACTTGTGTCAAATACTCTACTTCCGTTTCATCAAACTCAAATCGCAAGGGTTCTAAAGAAGATTTCACTTCAAAAATGCATGCAGACCTGGCAGCATACGGAACTCGAACCTGCACACTTCCCTATCCGAGCAGTTAGAGAACTCGCCCAGATAGCGAAGGGTGCGGGTTCGAGTCCCGTCTAGTGCTTGGTCTGCTTGGTATTATTTCTAGTAAAATGTTCTTTAGATTATAAACATGTAGCAGTCAAATGTAAAAAAAAAATATAATTCCAATATGGCCACATACTTTAATCAAGTTCCAAAGAAACTGCAGATGTACGGGGCATGGGTTATTCAGATTATAGAAGTATTTGGACTAGGTGGGGTACGGATTATCGAGGCTCTGCTGTATTAGTTTAGTGATAGTGAGTACTTATTTTTTTATTTTATTGAATAAAAGAATGCATGATGGAAACATGGTCCATTAAGGATTGCCTTTTGCATGTTATTTAAAATTAGAAGTTTATTCAAATATACATTTGAAGAGCCTGATTTGAAAGTTCAGATTAGATTACTTCAGTGAGATAGTCCTAGTGAGTCAAATTAATATATTCTTTTAATTAACTGACTTCAAAAACAAATACATTTTCAATCCAGTCAGGATGTTTTTTTATGTATGTCTAAATATCTTTTAATTTTTATTTCAGCTTGATGCTCAGGGAAAACCCCGAAACATGAAGTTACAATCACGCAATAAATTTGTGAGGACAATACAGAATAAAGAAAGGGGTAAGTGGTCTTTTGTTTTTTATTTATCTTACGTAAGACGTATAATATATAGATAGGCTATATGCCAGCATTATTGCATTTTAAAATGGCACAAGTAGTCCCCGCCCCAACTTCCCTTGGCAACAGCCGCCAATAGAGTGCACTAAAGTAGTCTCATTCACTCTCATTCATAAAGCAGACTACATCTCGCTCTTTAGCCTCTTTATATCCTCTATGTGCCAACGGTGTCAGCAACTGTCAAAATAAGTAATCACTTAATATTTTTACATTAATTTCTTTAAAACTGTACTTACCAATGAAATGATACGTTTTTCTTGTCTCTAATAATTCTTATGTATTTTATGTACTATCTCAAAACACATAGGGCTTTGTGTCTGGAAAAACGTAAAATATTTACACGTAGCAAAGTGTAGCCGCGGCGAGAGAGCGTGCCCGACTGAATGCATTTTGGGTAATTACAATTAGAAGCGTGTATGCCATATCTATAACTTTAAAACATCATAGGTTCGCTTGAGATGGGTCTTAAAGCGATATTTTGGAAAATTGTAAGAGCTCCATATATCAGTTACTTGCAGAGCCCCAGAGTTCTATACCGTAAGTCCAGATAGGTTTAATGATGGTTTTATAACACCAAAAACTTGTTGCTTAGTGGAAGCAGTGATCAAATACAAGCAATGCTCTTGCAGCCAATTCAGTGATTGGAATTGCAAGTTTGCCTCTATCTTTTTGGCTTTGATTGTCTCCATCGGTCTATGTTCATGGTTGCTTTCACTGCCTGATGAAATTTGCTCGAGGAGGTTGCTGCTCTCTCTTAATCATACCATACCATCTAGTTGGCGAACAGTCTCTCTTACTGTACACCCGAGATCTCTGTCAAGACCATCTTTTCAACACTCTAACCCCCTCTTCGCATTATGTGGCCAAAGTATGAAAGTATGCGACCCAAACATATTTTTTGACAGCTCCGCAATCCTCCGTCAAAGTTTCTATGAAAACTAAGTGGCGTCCCTTTCAGGGAAGTGGACGTTTAGGGAAATAGACCTAACGAACCGAAAGGAAAATAATGGACACGTACTTATTGGTTATTCAAATAAAAAAATTACGTCGCGTCAGTGGAGACTCGTGACGTCACTCTTAAGTATTTTTTTAACGTCATGCGTCATTTGAAATCAATATATCTGTGTAAAGTTTTCATTATGTGAATTAATAACAAATATGTGTCCAATACTTTTTTAAAATCTACCTGATAGACGAAGAAAACAAGTTAGTCGTTATACCTTTTATAGTTCCAACCAAGTGTTCTAAAGCACTCACGTTTGTTTTTATTTGTTTCAGTGTTTATTGACCCATCTCGACAAGTTGTTTCTCAGCCCCATACGAATTCAAGACATTTTCCTAGGCAAATCAACTCTAATAGATTTTTAGCTAGCAACATGAAATACAAGCAATCAAAACATTCAGGTGCATTTGGAAACTACTACAAATGTAAATAATTAATATAAATCGTATATAATATAAAGTTAATGTTTGTTTACTATAGATGGTATTTCAAGGCCGAAACCCATCGTCAGGACAGTTGAAAATGATGTTCAAATTATTGATGATCCAATGGAGGAAGATTTTATTCATTCAAGAACATTGTTAAATCGGAAAGCTAGCCTTCAACTCAAAATAGTTGCACACAATAATGATATATGGGATAACAGGAGTGTTTCAACCCAAAGGTAGGCAAATACTAATAATAAAATTCACTACAATGTCATGCTCCTTTAATAGTAAGCAAAAATCTCAGCAAGGGTATGATATTATCAGGATTTTATACATAAACCGAAGGGGCGGCTGAAAAAACCATTGCTCTTACCCCCTTCCCGTGTTATAAGTATTTATCAGTGTGATAAATATAATTTTAATAGAAAGCAAAAGTCGTTGATTTTATAAAGTTGTTGTCAACGTTATTAAATACCCTAACGAGAACAAAATCGTGCCTGAAAACTGTCTAAAAGGTACATTGGACGGTACACGGAATTCCGTAAGATGATCGCGTAGTCAAAAACAATATAAGGCATTATTTAAACATTGAAAGTCACCTTTGATGCATACTATATAAGGTCTTAATTAAAACGCATGCGTCAAAGATTTATGACAGTTCAAAATGCAAGCTCGTAAAATTTACTTTTTTTTTATTTTAGATGTACATATTTATTATAATTAAGGTTACCTACATTCTTAATGTCGAAAAACGCAACTCAACATGCAATTTAAAAAAGGAAATCGTATTCTAAGAAAAACAGTAGATTCATGTAGAAAAACAGAAGAACAGGAGAAATTTCAGAAAAACATGAGATCTCCTGTAATATCGGAATGGTATTCAAGCACTTCTTGATTAAGACACATTTTAAGCACACGTGGTGTATCTAGCGTATTTAATATAGTTGGTTGTTGTACAAATATATATTTTTGTCTGCTATTTTCCCCAGAACCACCGTTGTGGCAAAAGAAAAGAGTCCACCAAGACCACCTTCTATTCTTAAAAAACGACCAATGGCAGCTCTGAGAAGTGAAAAACAAGTCGAAAAGTCTGATAAACCTGTATTGGAGTATAGAATTATAGTTAGTAATTTACGTAATACCGTCACTGCTGGTGACATCGAGGTATGAATAATCAATGTTCTTTGAGTTATTTTAGAGGGTGAATTAATAGATAATTATAACGCGACAAGGATCTTAATGAATGTGGCGTAAATTGGAACTAACGCCGCCGTCTTTCAATTGAATTAAGTTTTTGGTGATTATGGATGTGTCTCATAATGTGGATGACTCTGCCAATGCCAGGGTCAGAGGCGGCGTAAGGCGTGGGCGACGTGGGCCTACGGCCTCGCGGTACAAGGGGCCTCGCGCCTCAAAAATTTTTATACATTGCTTAAAAGCGTTTTTTTTTATAAAATCCGTCTTCAGGTCGCCACATAACAGGGCCTCGCGAAATCTGTTTTGCCCATATCAAATTTAGGTCTTGCCCCGCCACTGGCCAGGGTTAAAGGAGACCAGGTACCAGGTATATGCTGAGCCTGCACAGTTTTGTTGATGTTGTGCAGTATGTCGACTGCAGACTCGTTGAGTATCTGTAACAACACGTAGACAGACATTTATTATACCAGGCCCATATCCATATCCATAAAATTATGGAGTCACAGATAAATATATGTATTGATGTCGTATAACAAGGGTAAGTGGAGGAATTTTATTGCGGTACTACAGTTGTAGTTTTAAAATATTTTGTTTCAGGAACTTACACAGGACCTATATAAATTAAAGGGGATTGTATTTGAGTTAGCATAAAAGCCGCCGTCTTTGTAAACGTCATATTTTATATGTCATTTACGTAGACAGTGGCGCTCTCCCTGAACAGTCACTCACATTCATAAAGATTCTTGTCGCACTGTATCAAATGTTCTGCCGCTTATTGTATCTACCTTTATTTTTGACTCAGGAGTTATTTGGAGACGTAGGGGGAATGGTGGAATCTCGGTTAGTCCGACCTGGAACGGCAGAAGTTATTTACAAAACGCAAGACGACGCCCAAAGAGCTGTAGATCTCTATCACAATCGGCAGTTAGATGGACAACCAATGAACTGTCTCCTTGTTACTCCACGCTCAAATGCTGTTATTTCGAGGTAAAGAATAGACTAAGACATTCACAATTCTAATAAATATTCTGTGTATTATTTATATTTTAAGTATTTAACTGCTAGACGTTATATGAATTATTCTATACGTCGCAACAGTTAAGTAACTACATGTTATGTGTTCGACAAGATTCTGGTTGAGTGACCTGATTGTGTAACATTTTCACTTTTCGACATGCCTTTCATTTCATAGTTCATAGTAAAAGTCTGATTTAGTTTTAGGCGTGAAGCAAAGGTTACTTGTAGATTGCACTGCACACCACGCTTCTTCTATGGTAGCAAACAATCTTAACACAAGTACCGTAAGGATGCCTAGAATAAAAATTCAAATAAATTTGCTTGATCAGTTTGAACATAGAATAGATGAATAAATAAAATAAATATAAATAAATAAATATTTCCAAGTAAGCACTGTAAGGCTTGTGTTATGGGATACTAGGGTAACGGATAGAATACGTATATTGTACATATATAAGTATATTTATATAGAAATACATATTAAACATCCATGACTGGAGTACAAATGCTCCTATTCATCACACAAACATCTGCCCCCACCGGGATTTGAACCCGGGACCTCTCGAGTCGGCGACACCATGAAACTCGGCGTATAAACCACTCGGCCACGGAGGTCGTCAAAATATATAGCTTTTTTGTAGGAAAATATCAGGAGAAATCCTAATTTCTTCTGGTCATTTGTGAAATCTAAAAACAACGCAGATGGTAAATTCCATATAACATGACCATTGGCGGAAAAATCTTGTTTTTTTTTTTATGTGAAGAGATATATACCGCTTTCAATACATTCTCCCAATTAGTCTATGGAAAAACAAAAATGGACAGTAAAATTTTAATCTCCTTGGTGTGATAAAGATGCTCGGTAGTTGTTGCATTATGTCGCATTATGATAACAGGTTTTATTTAAAATATTTCCGTTTTTTTCAGAAATAACACCAAGCCTGCATTATATAGCACTAATTCCAATGTGGAACCTGACATATCGACTTTCCATAAAGTACTATTTAGCAACCTGTAAAGTTGAAAATTTACCACACGTCTAAATATAATGTAAGTAATAATAAGAAAACTTTAACTTTTTGATTGTCAATGTAATGAATCTAGAGTAAGTTATTAGCCAAGAAAATTAAACTATTGCAAGTATTTTATGTAGTAATTTTTCAGACAAAAATGTGACTTTATTTTTCGACATGTGAAATGTCAAACAATAGTGGAACCTGTAATAAATATGCAAGTAAATATTTGAAAATAATATTAATCACCCCATAGTTTGATTATTTGTGTAAGCTTATTACATTCACTGAAATTAAGTTGAGACAATTATTATTTTCTTGATTCTGTATGATAGAATGAGAAATCATTGAATAAATTATTTAATATCTACACTGACACGTCTATAGCACAAAATTGATAGTAGTAAAAATCAATCTATAAATAGTGCGATTCAAATATGAATAGGAAAGCCAAAGACCTCCATCTGTCAAATGTCGCTTGAAAAGTACGGTTTGCAAAATAATCTGGAACCCCTTTTTAGCACTCAGCTAATTCTTGAATAAAAACCCAACATTTGTAAACAAATAATATCAATTATCAACAAATATTGATAATTAATATTGGTTGATATTTTTTTTTCATTTATTGAGCTTTGGCTATGAATGGTTGATAATCTAAATCTCCAACCAAATGTCACTTTAAGTTGCGTTCAGAAAACTTTCTTCTCGATTTAAAACTTTCGATTACATAAAGGATGCATGTTCGTATGTGACCTAGTAATAGTGCATGATTATTCATAACTACTCCCGAGGTAATGCAGAGATGAGCGAAATTAAAGACCTAGAATCTGATTAATGTTTTTTCTTATCGTCTTAATATTGATTTTTTTGTTTTCTCAATCTAGTAAATCAATTTTATAAAAAATACTGATGATTTATCTCACTTAATCTTAGTAAATAAGCTTTATTAAATAAAAACTTTTTTTTGCTCACTCTACCTATTTGGTTTGAATTGACAGCTATGTCGTCACAATATGGCGCCCAGTCGGTCTTGTTCTTAGTTGAATCGCATTATACAAAATGCGCTCGAGTAACGCACACCGCTACATAGACACCGCTTGCGGAGACGATATCTCAGACTAGGACTATTCTTTAAAACTTAAACTTGCCAACAAGGATAAAAGCCGTGATTTTTGTGGTCACAACCCGAACAGGTATTTTGAAACTTAGTATGATAAAAAAAACGGCCAAGTGCGAGTCGGACTCGCCCATGAACGGACCCCCGTTGCAGCAAGAAACATAATAAAGTTATAATTTTTATTATTTTTAAAGCATGTAAACCGTGTATGACCGTCTGCTGCCTGGTCTGCGTGGAATTTTTTCTAGTTATATTTTCTTTAGATTTAAACATAATAAAGTTCTTGTTAGGGTTAGAAAATAATGGTTCACGGTTTATGCATAAGGCTTATGTTTTTTTTTTTATTTGATTTGATTGAATGAAAGGTAAACTGCGGTATACGATTTATGACGTATTAAAAAAACTACTTACAGATCTCGTTCGAATCAATTTTCGGTGGAAGTTTGTTTGGGCATAATATAATATCGTTTTTTTCCACTTTGGAAGTGTTTCTCGCCAAACTATTCAGTTTAGAAAAAAATATATTAGAAACCTCAATATTTTTGAAGACCTATCCATAGATACCCCACACGTATGAGTTTGATGAAAAAAATTTTTCTGGTTTAGTTCTAAGTATGGGGATCCACAAATTTATTGATTATTTTATATTTTTGTGTGAAAATCTTAATGCGGTTCACAGAATACATCTACTTACCAAGTTTCAACAGTATAGCTCTTATAGTTTCGAAAAAAGTGGCTGCGACATACGGATGGACGGACAGACAGACAGACATGACGAATCCATAAGGATCCGTTTTTTGCCATTTGGCTACGGAACCCTAAAAACCATTAAATATGTCATAAATCAACTTTGCATGTTGATGTAGGCAAACGACCTAGATGTCCACCTGATGGTAAGTGGTCACTGTCGTGACACTTGCAGCACCAAGGCACGGTAATATTATCTATACAGTATCTTCATAGAAACGGTCGGAAAGCGTATCATACCATACCTACGCCACTCGAGTTCGCGCGGCACCCGGTGGGCTACCAGCAGCACCAAGGCACGGTAATATTATCTATACAGTATTCTATCTTCATAGAAACGGTCGGAAAGCGTATCATACCATACCTACGCCACTCGAGTTCGCGCGGCACCCGGTGGGCTACCAGTCGCGAATGCGCCGCAGCGACGACCGAACGGTGTTAATTGTTTATAAGCAGTTAGCCGTGCTTAAACGTTTGTATTGTGAATATTTGATTGAATTAAGTAGATACCTACATAATTTAATATGGCAAAGAGCAATAGTCGATATTGTGCTGTTTTTGGTTGCTTGAACTCTTCAATAATTAAACTTTTTATACGAATTTATTATATTATTAAATTTAATAATAAAGCTTTTCGTACGTCTCAGTCGAGGCGTAAATATGTTTCTGTCTCAAATCTATATTATTTTTTATTACATCTTACACTTAAAATAATATGTATTTTATGTAACACTTCCTAATTAACTGACAACATTTTTTTACATATGAAATAAAATATTTGCAATCATAAAACTAGAAAGAAACTCCATTATGTAGATGAAATTAAAATACTGTAGGCGGGCAGCCCTACCGCGTGTTTACGCCCCGCTCGGCCGTAGGCAGTTATTTCAAGGACAGGGCCGAGTCACAATACTGTATAGATACTATTACCGTGACCAGACGTTGCCGGATCTGAAGGAAAAGGTTTATTCGCCTTTTTCAGACCGCCATATCATAGCATAACTTCGTTCTAGATCTTACTGGAACGCAAGAGAAAGGAACGCGCGTAACGCATTGTTCTTGAACGTCAAGCGTCCAGATGGCGGGAGTTAAACTTCTATCTGCGGCGTGTAGTGCGGTGAAGGATATTGGTTGCTGGCACCAGGTTCAATAATTTTTCTTAACACTGCATTGTATAGACGGACGGTACAGCACGCTTGCTTAGGGGTTGTAAAGCGTCGTTGAGCTCAGATTAATCGACTAGTTTAACTGCCCACTTTTGTATCCGGTCAAGAGGAAGGAGCTGGTATTGCGATGCTCCAGCCTAGAGGTGAGAACAGTAGGTACTCCCATGTTTAGATTTGAAGTACTTTCTCGCTCTATTGAACACCGCAAGCTATTTGCATGCTAGTTTGTTTTTCCTTTTAAGTAATCTCGGAATTTACTTTCATTCGAAATATCAACTTCGAATTTCTGTTTTTAGAGGGAAGGAGGGGGGGGGAGTGGTATCTAAATAAGGTGCCGCTATGAATGGGGTTTTTTGCGGTGAATACACACACTCCTCTTCTGGTCTTTGTTGGGTTAATTGTTTATCTTTGCTAGGTTAATTAACTGTCAGCCCCAATAAGAGACTAAATCCAGTAATATCTCAATCCCAGATACAAGTCTCTACACTCTCCATCCACTTAAGACACGAGTCTGTGAATTTCTTTGAGCAAAAATGCTGCAACAAATTATTATTTGTAACTTTTAAATTATTTATTTACAACTACGGAACCCTACTCTGCGCGTGGTTCGACACGCACTTGACTGTTTTTTTTTATTGTGTTTAACAATAACGTTATTATTGAAATGTTTTAGTTATTTTTGCTTTATATTACCTGTATTGTCTTTATATTCTTCCTGTTTCATACTAAACAATAAATCAAAAAACTAAGTACATACGAGTGCTACTGCCATGATAGTTTTTTGTGCACGACCGCCGAGTACATTTGTGAAAGTGAAGTGCATACATGAGTTTAACTTCTGTACTATCTATTTTCTGTCTAAACTTAAACATAAAGCTATGTCATATGATGATATGAGCGGACAAAAACGTCAAAACGGCCGTCATAGCGTGCCGTGTGACTAATGGCGCGATTACACTTGATAACTTGACTCGATGTTAGCCCGAATAACATCGGGTAAACGACTAAGTGTAAATAAGCGGTGTTGAGTACGCCCGTATTCGGGTAGTTTTCGTTATGGTTACCCGACATCGTCTTCCAGCCCGTATTCCAGCGTAAATATTGCTTCGGGTGCCCGAATTCGAGTAATGTCTTTCGTGCACCCGAAATACGGGCTAACGACCAAATGTAATTGAGCCATAAGGTTGATACGAGTCATTGGACATGATCTTTGTAATTTGAAGTTGCGAGCTAGCGAGAGGAGCACTTGGTGACAGCTGGTATATCAAGTAGTGATAAATATCCTCGGACATCTTTTACTCTATTTCGGACAAATCTAACAAAAAAATCATAAGTGCATATTGATACCACCGCCATTTTTATACAACTGTTTTGTTTACTCTAAACTAGTAGAATTATGTAAGAGCAAACACGACCATATAATTCCTGTCATAGATAAAGGCGCAGCGCACACCGGGAGAGGCGCAGCGTTTGCAGCGGTGTGCTCTGCTTGTGAATAGGCTAGTTTACTCATGTCGAATTGTATTAAATAAATGTTTATTTCTTGAAGTATTTGGTCTAAGGAACCTAAATATATCGATTTCACTTCATAAAAGCAGAAGATTGCTGTAAAAATTTAATTTTAAAAAATCGTTTTAGTCTATATTTTTTAAACACTAAAAACGCTGTTCGCCACATCCGCCATGATTTTGACGTCTCTTGTGGTAAACAACTAAATGTCATTCGCGTGTTACTGTAGGTGGATTCTTTCGTCTGACTAAATTTATCTTAAAACACTTAACTTTAGGAAAGAAAAAAACAGTAAACTTAGTTTTTTTTTTGACAAAACTAATTATGTTTGCCGGCTTTGAGAAAGCAGAAAGCACAAATCTGCCAAGAATTGACGCATTGATGGTTGGTGAATTTGTTGCACTAAACCCCGATTTCTGCTCTGCGGAGCAGAGAAACGACAAGACATCTATGTAAGTACAGTGCATTTAGTATTACAATGTAGTAATAAACATAAAACTGATACAACATATGAATAAGTGTAATAAAGTTGCGTAGGTTAATTTCTTTCAGCACTTTAATCCACTACTTT